ATAGTTTATAATAAAATGTTTGTATCAAGTTTTGGGATGCACAGATTCGAAAGTATTTAATGTAATTCCAGACACATTTCGGGAAGTTGAAATATTGTTGTTTACGATAAGAATCCTGTACGCAATATGCCTGAAAGCATTTTCTAGTGAAGGAATTTATCTTCGAATAGGGACGATATTTGTAGGTACGTAAAACAGATAGTGGAGGAAGAACTTTGGAATATAAATTACGCATGAATATACTAAAAGGATATCTTTTTTTTTAATTCATAGAACCTACGCTGATAACAAGATTGTTATAAAATACGTTGTGTTAATATATTATATTATTATTGTTACGTTTGAGGGAAAGATTTGAACGTTTAGAGCCATTTATCAAACTTACAAGCGAACGATAATCGCCATAGGACATAAGGTCTTCTTGTGTTAACAAAACTTAATCGCTAAGATCGAATAGCAAATTTTATACCCAAAACTGTAAACCAGGTCTGCGCGATGTTCATTTACAAAAATATCATATAAGATCGTATTTTAAACAAGTCGAGATCCCGTAATCATTTATTATCGATTTTATACAAGTCAATGGTAGTTATATGGAAACTCATAATATGATCAGCCAATTACCAATTTTGTGTGTGATTGCAATGTTTTTAACGTTCAAAAAATTAAAAATTGGATATTGTGACTCAAACATATTTGCTTAGACATCATCCTGTAGACAATTGCTGCGATTTTTTGCGTCATAATATTGTTGGCGCCTTACGAGAAGGGGAACGCGCCGAGAGCGAGACAGACCCCTCTTTATTTGAAGTGTAGTTCGGAAGGGAGTGGAAATATGCGGAGGTTAAAACAAAAGATTTCAGCTCGGGGAATTTTGCTTAATTAATGTTAGCTATTTTTATTAGATTTTATATTAAAGCTATATATTTATACGTGAAGCAAAAACTAAAAATTTGTATCCCTTTTTGCGAAAATTGCGCGGACGGAGGAGTATGAAATTTTCCACACTTATAGAGAATACAGAGAAGAAGTGCACAATGGTAATATTTTTTTAAATTAATGCATAAAAGATACATTAAATCAGTAAAGAAAACATTACACACACTAAATACCATGTGTTTGACGTACACACGCATGCACTATTTATTGTCAAACTTTGTCTTGTCTGTGGTCAAACTGAGAATAGATTATTAGATATTGTTTGTCTTTATTAATATTTTTTAATAGTGTAGCTTTGGCGATATTTTTGATTATAGAAGTATAAAATACAACCATAATAGTGTACAAACTTACAATTCCAATTAATTATAGTCCAATTTCGACTACTGCGGGACTTCTAGTTCATTTAAATGTACCAAGATCGATTGCTGCTAAAGACTAAAACATAAATTTAAAAAAATCGGTTTCTTATTTTAAATTAATATAAAGCAGTTGTCATACACTACAATTTTGTTGTAACTATANAGAAGTATAAAATACAACCATAATAGTGTACAAACTTACAATTCCAATTAATTATAGTCCAATTTCGACTACTGCGGGACTTCTAGTTCATTTAAATGTACCAAGATCGATTGCTGCTAAAGACTAAAACATAAATTTAAAAAAATCGGTTTCTTATTTTAAATTAATATAAAGCAGTTGTCATACACTACAATTTTGTAGTAACGACAGGTTTTTTTTCTCAAAAGCTTAAAATGGTAAATGGACCATTTTTTATGGAGCGAGGACATCTATGTGATCTTATCCACAATACCTGCGTAGAATCGATCTAGGCTTGACGGTGTTCAAGAAAAGGCGGCTCAAGTTCTATATAATTATAAGCCCCTTATCTATATATATAAAAATGAATTGCTGTTCGTTAGTCTCACTAAAACTCGAGAACGGCTGGACCGATTTGGCTTATTTTGATCTTGAATTATTTGTGGAAGTCCAGAGAAGGTTTAAAAGGTAGATAAATATGAAAATGCTCGTAATGAAATAAAAATAACAATTTTTTGTTTGTTTTAAGTTTATTTTATACAAAAGTTTAGGTCTTTTATTTATGGATTGAGGCACTACGAAGTCTCCCGGGTCACCTAGTTATTTAATAAATTATTAAAACTCATACATAAAACAAATTGTCTAAATATGCCTTTATAATATATATATTGAAATTCATTTCGCGTGCAGTTCTAACAAATGTATACGGAGTGAACATTAAAAACGAACACGCGACTCGTTATTGGGTTGAACGCTTTTGATATGGAAATTTTTATCTTACAAATGAAATCCGTGGTCGCCCGAAAAAACTAGAGTCAATATCGACCGAATTAAAAGCCATAGTGGTATCTGACGATACTCTATCTACCACTGACTGACAACGCGTCAAGGTATGCCTTGCGTTGTTTAATGGTCACAGATATTAAGGGATTTTGAACCGCATTGTCACTTGCTATTGTTTTTCACAATCTTAAACGGTCATCATGTTACTTAGAGCCTGGTTCAGCACCTAAGCAATGCCTCAAACGAAATTTACCCTAAAAAATTATGGTAATTGTTATACTTGTCTGGGTCGATATAATTCTTCACGGCTGTTTACCAATTGGCACCAGTATTACTGCGGATGTTAACTGTGAGAAACTGGCCATAATGATGGAGAAGCTCATGAATCTCTGGCCAGCCTTGGTTAACTGCTCGTCCCCGGTGCTCCAGCAGGACAACGCTTATAGGACGCCTTATAGAACACAACAGACAGCCTCTAACTTAATAAAAGTAGAATTCGAAGGTTGCGTCATCCACTATACTCACAAGACCTTGCACCGACAGACTTTGACATCTTCCAAAGTTTGGACCTCTTCTAGTCAGGATAAAAATTAAAAAAATACCCAAAAGGCAGTCCAAATGCCTTAGAAGAGTTTGTTGACTCTCGTACACCCCGAGTTCTTCAAGAAGGAGAATTGAAAAATTAAAACTGCGCTGGCAGAGATCCGTCGATACCATGAGTGTATATTTTGACTAAAATAAATAAAAAATATTTGTAAAAAAAAATACATTTGTATGATAATAATCGTAATAAGCTGCAATTTCGTGGTTAAAAACTTAATATGTGTCAAATCAAAGATGATAATTTGAATTGTACTGTCCACGAACGCAGCGGGCTCAAGTCATAGAGATGTGTAGGTACATTCAGGTACAGGTAGGTATTTTGGTTGCTGTGATTTCTGATTTCACTCCGATGGAATATACGTCTCGAGCCGCCCCCGATAGAACACAAACATCTGTCCGCGGACCCAAAGGATCCATAATAAAATGTTATGAATGTGAAAAACAATTTTCAATTATATTAATTTCTACCAACATATTTTGTTAAAGGCATTTGGGGTTCGCCGGAAAATATTTAGGTTATTTCAAATTACGTTAATTCGCGAAGGATCAAAGAGCTCTAACAAAGCTTTATAGAAATACGTATAACGTTTCAAAGCTCGAACATTTTTTGGGCGGCGCCTTTATTGTGAGACCTATTTATGTGCTCTTATTACGAACACAACACATTTTTGAAGGCGGGTTTTGTGGATGTTTTTGCTTGTTTTATTTATTGTAATACCAGTTCCAAATGAACTTGAATGAAAGGTACGATTTCACGATAGCAGAGCGTGTAATGAAATTGTGGCAACTACCTACGTATATAGTAAAATAAGGTTCTTAAGACTTTTAGCGGCTTAAGGTGTTTGAGGTTTTTTTTTTTTTACCCGTTTTCCCCTGACGTTGTCAAGGCTCTTGTAAAGCCTCTTTAATGTTACATATTTATTTATAATTTTTATATTTGTTTTATATTTATGTATAATTTGCCTGGAGTTTTTGATTTTAAACAATTTTTTCTTTCCAAAATAATGAAGTTACACTATGGGTGTTTGAGGTTACATATCATCAGTTTTTTTTATTTTTTTTATTGCCTACATGTGTGGACCATTTCACAGCCCACCTGGTGTTAAGTGGTTACTGGAGCCCATAGACATCTACAACGTAAATGCGCCACACACCTTGAGATATAGTTCTAAGGTCTCAGTATAGTCACAACGGCTGCCCCACCCTTCAAACCGAAACGCATTACTGCTTCACGGCAGAAATAGGCGGGGCGGTGGTACCTACCCGTGCGGACTTACAAGAGGTCCTACCACCAGTAATTACGCAAATTATAATTTTGCGATTAATAGCCAAACCTCTATTTATTGTGTGTTCTAAATTTTATACCAAAAAACTCTCCTGTTTGTAATAGTTATATTCGCGCTTAATTTATCTAATTAAGTTGAAACTTTGTACGAATATTGCTTTACATAGAATTAGGGCTGAAAAGAACAATTCATATACAAACGTCACTACTGAATCATTTTCACCTTCGCGTTTCTGTGTTTTCATTAATTGCAAGACGACCATAAGCACTGTGCTCTTCAGTTAAAATGTAATGATCAACCATCACTTCGTTTTCCGTTGATTTGGTCCTTCCATCAGGGAAATTCCATTACTTTATTTATTTATTTTTTGTTGCTTAGATGGGTGGACGAACTCACAGCCCAACTGGTGTTAAGTGGTTTCTGGAGCCCATAGACATCTACAACGTAAATGCCGCAACCCACCTTGAAATATGAGTTCTAAGGTTTCAGTATAGTTACAAAGGCTTACAAAGGCAACCTTCAACGCATTACTGCTTCACGGAAGAAAATAGGCGGGGTGGTGGTACCTACCCGTGCGGACTCATAAGAGATCCTACCAACAGTAATTACGCAAATTATAATTGTGCGGCTTTGATTTTTAGTACACGATGCTATTCCATCACCGTGGAAGTCAATCGCGAACATTTTTAAGTACGTATTTCATTACAAAAATTTGTACCCGCCTGCGGGGTTCGAACACCGTTGCATCGCTAGACACGAATACACCCGGACGACTTATCCTTTAGGCCACGACGACTACTACTAACTATGATAACAATAATATAAGTACACCATTTCTGTTTCCAGGACGTGGCATTCATAAACCCGGCGAACGTCGTGTTCGTGTACATGCTAGTCCGAGAGCTCGTGGACGGAGAAAGGATAGCGCGTCCTCAGGAGCTGCAGGCCGTCGTTCTCACCTGCCTCTACCTCTCTTACTCTTATATGGGCAACGAGATCTCGTACCCCCTCAAGCCGTTCCTAGTTGAAGACTCTAAAGACAAATTCTGGGACCGATGCCTCTTAATCGTCGATCGGCTATCGTTCAACATGCTGAGGATCAATTCGGAGCCGGGTTTCTTCACGGAAGTGTTCACGGAGCTGAAGGCGTGCGGCGTGGTGGACAGCCCTCCTCCCGCACCACCACACCCCGCCCCCGTACCCCCTCACACCGTCACGGCCGCCTGACACACGGAGGTGGCCGTTCTGAGGTTGGCCTTGACTGATCGCCCTAGTCGCGTTTGATGTCGGGCTCGCAGCTATTGGTCGACCGTTCCCTGATAACTTCATAACTGTAAGATTGGCGCCTGGATCGTGTATAAATAAAATATTAGACGTCTGGTTTCGTGTGGTCGTTCGAGAAAAACGGATCACGAACTTAATTCCTTAAAAGACTTATCTTTTGCATTCCATTTTAATAGTTTGGCTATGGAAGTTAATTATAGTAAATAAAGGTGTTACAGTGTTCGAAGTTTGACGAGTGTTAGGATGCGTTTGCTCAAGAAATAAATCTCGTAGAAAGAAGGTAGGTAAGAATAGAGATCGAACGGTTGACCAATGCTACGCTGAAGTTTTACGAAAGTTCGGAGCCAGAAATGGGGAAAATCATAATACCTATGTTACGAATGTGATAAATCTAGTCGGAAACATCTTGTTGAAAATTTAATGTTAGAAATTTTCGTCCATCTCACCGTATGGTTACAGCGATTCCAATTTATTGGCTTTTTTATGTGTCACCGCCATTTAAGCACGGTCATTGTCAGTGTATATGTCGAGCGAAAAGGCCAAGTGTCCACTCCACACCCCATCAGAGACGGCTAACAAATTTTCTATGTATTGCAAACCAGTTTATATCTGTCCGTGGTTTTATTACCACGTTAAATTAGTTCATGCGTTTTCGTGTATTTTCGTGAAGTAGATAAATGTCTGAAATATTTACTTTAAGCGGCCCCTTCAAAGGCAACATTTTAGTCCAAGAGTCAGTAAGTTAAGTGTTTCGTAAAGTAGTAAAATGGCAGTAAAGCCATTTAGTTAGGTGATAATTAGCGAATATCTGTCAGGCGGGAGGATGCAATATTACGGTTAAAATCCGCTAAAAATGTGTCCCGGTAAACCCTTCTACGATGTGTACGTATGTAAGTATGGTTGACGGCTGTAAGCGCGGGAGCGTCACCTTTGATTTTGTTATAAACGAATGTTGTTATAACAATTAAGTCAAAATAAACGACGACGAAGCGTTTTGTACAGTAAAAAATTGAACATTGATTACATCTTAAGTCTTAATTTTACCCGTATTAAGTACTTATAGCTTAGATAATCAAAGTGGACGGCACTCGGTTTAACAGTACAACGTGTTTGATTTGCATGTTTGCACGGCAATATATTATTTAATTTTATAAAGTCTAAATAAATGATTAATAATTTAGTATTATCAGCCACGTAATTTAATGAATTCTTTTATTTTAATTTGAAAAAAAATAAGTGTAAGATGTCAAATATGACATAAGCAATGTCATTGATCACAATTTAAAGTTTGAACAGTGTAATAATGCGCCGAGTGCCTTAGTTAAGAATAATAATTGAATTGTTTAGTCGAATGAATGTCTAAAAAATGGTAGGTTACGTACATATTAATTAATAATAGAAATAAAAAGAATCTCAATCGTTCCATTTCATAACTGTTTAGAATAAATTAGACTTCTGTGATTAAACTTGAATCTTTGCGTTTTATTGTTATTAAGTATTTATTTTTTCTTGCTTAGCTTAAATTATTGTTGTATTATTTTGATTATGTTAAGTTTAAAGATTAGCGTAATGTGAAGCGACTCAACCAATGAATCTGTCATCTAACTTTATCTACATATAATCGCTGTTGTGTCGCTGTTGTGCTATTTTACCCGCGCTGATTGAAGCTTATTTCCGGAAGTGAAGTGACGTATGTACCTACTGCTTTTACAGCCATTTTGCCTAGTTCTTATTACAATATCTATCAAGATACTTTTGAAACAAATCAAAATGATCGAACCAATAATTTGGATGAAAGTCACTGTTCTTCTTTTTCTTTTTTTCAGTATGGCAGCCTGTATTGAGATTAAGTCACTAACGATAGGTACAATGAGCGACTCAACTTTGTAATTTATGCTTTAAAAGTAAAAAGGCGCGAAACATGTATGGAGTATTTAGCCGTTAGTTGGTCATGGTCCTTGACTATTAATTTTAACAAAATGGTTCTCAAAACAATTGCATAAACACATTAAATAACCATAGGCTGAATTTCGATGTATTTTAAATAATCACAATATTTTCCTCCTATGTTTGAGAGTTCTGAGATGCAAAATACTGTCAGAGAGAAACAATTTCAAATAAAACCAATTATGAAATCAATGAATTCATTCGAAAAAACCTAAATAATATTACGATTTCTATGAGTCTAATTAAAGACGGCTGCAGGACATATTGGTGCGTAAACATTTTTACCACAATTTTACCACAAACACATCACAATTTAGGTAGCATCAAAATCGATTATTTCACACAAAATCGAGAATGTATGTTTTAAATAATTTCTCAAAGACATGTCGCATCCATGAAACTAATAAACTATCGCAATAATGCTACAGTTAGACATTAAGAACAAGTCTGGATGAATTAAAAATGAGGTTGAAAAGTTGCGGATACTTGTACATTTGTATTGATCAAGATTTTAAAAGACAAAGACCTTCATTCATTCAATTTCACCAACCCGTCTTTGTGGTATCGTCATTTCGTGTTAGGTACATTCAGACAACAATGAAATAAAAATCAAATATACAGATCGTATGTTGTATGCACGTCTGTGAAATATATGGATAATCCTTGGTTATTTAATATAGGTAGTACATTTTTTTATTGCCACTGTACGACACTACGTAGGTACACTGACGACCATACGGTCCACTTGCAAATGAGTGAATTATCAACGTTGCTCATGGCCGTCAGAAATGCCAAGAGCATGACCGAGTCGTTGCCTAACACTAAAGACTCCCTCTGATTTAGTTTACCTTGGAAATTGCATTTTTGTATATCTGTTGATTGTCTGACAGAGACCGCTTTAAGCGAAAAGTGTGCTTAGTGCGAGTTTTTTAACGTTCCCGATAGCGTAAAAGTTAGCTCTAATTTGTATGGAGTTGGAACGTTTGTCTATGTTTGCCACTAGGGGCACTGTCCCAACTGCATACAAATGTGAGTTAACTTTTACGCTGTCGAGAGCGTTTAAAAACTCGCACTAAGCACAAAGATGATAAGATCGACCATTGTACCTCTATTCGTGTACTAATGTGATTGTAATTACATGTCTTGGTGTATATTAAAGTATACTCTATTCTACATTAAAAATATTCAAGTGTTCAAATGTTAACACAACAACAATGCAGTGCGCTTGAAACAAATTAAAATTATTTTATCGGCTGTAATTCTATTTCGTAAAGGTTATTTTTAAGAGATACAAAGATAAAAACTCGTGAATTTTATTTTTATTGATTTATGTTTGACATTTGACTTAAGTTTCACTGATTGATATGGTAAAGGGAACTAACTACTTTCGATCAATAACATTTGTATTAAATCTATGACCATGTGATTAAAATATTTATAGTGAAGCTTTGAATATAGTACCTAAGAATAAAATAGGAATATAACAGAAATATCGAATTTCAATGATATTATAGTGTGTCTACAGTACTTGATGTTTGGATGTATGAATGTGCAAAATTAACGAAAAGTATCAATTGGTCGCGTACCTTTTCTTACTAATTCACATAACTCACGTTTGTTAATTAATCTATTGTAAATATACCCCCTTATTAAAAAAAAAAACTTTCGTATTATAAAATAGTGTTTTATTTTGCACCTCTTTTCGTTATAATAACAATCTTTGTTTTTAGGTTTTATTAGATAGTAAACAATTTCAAATTTCGGCTGTCATCAAAAATAGCAGTGGCGTTCATGTTGATATTATTCAGTCCATGGAATCTAGTAATTGCTTAAATCGAGACACAAAAAAATGAATTCATTGTTGAGGTGGGTGAACAAGCTCACGGCCCAGCTCGTGTTAAGTGGTTACTCGATCCCATATACATTACTGTGGGAATGCAGTCACTCACCTTAAATTATGAAGATGAAGTCTCGAATTATATTCTATTAAGACCTCAGTTTTAAATAGAAATGCATTGCTTGCGGGCAGAAGTAGACAGGATGGTTGTGTTTTGTTTTAATTTTTTAAGCCTTGACGCCATACCTCTTTGCTGTCTTCAGCCATCGAGTCCCACGCTGTGCGTCCCACTAGGCCCGGAAATCTCGTAGGAGGTTCGGCCTCCGGCCCGAAAAATGAAAGATCCAATTCCTAGTTAAATTGACATTTCATAGGAACATGGACACTCTACAAAACTTGCATACGCCCCGTCATGACGTTTGCAAGCGTAGTGTTCGCTCACGCGGCCCGCACCAACTTGAAACCCCTTCAGGTTATTCAATCGATTCTGCAGGATAGCCGTCGGAACACCATGGTTCCTAAGGAACGTGGATCTCCATGATGACCTGGAGATTGACTCAGTCAGAAAAAATCTTCAGTTGGCACCATTACGCCACTTTGAGAAGGCGGCACGACATGAGAGCCCTTTTGTCGAGCCCGCTGGAAATTACATACCCGATCCTGTAGACCGAATGGTAAATAGTCGACGTCGCCCAAAACACGTCATTACAGATCCTCCCGATCCATTGACGGTGCTTTTAGGTACCACAAGCACCGATCACCGTCCTCGTCGAACCCGTCGCTTGCGAAAAAGGGCTCGACGAGCGAATTGAACCACAGACACAGCCAACTGAGTTTCTCGCCGGATCTTCTCCGAGGGTCGTGATTCCGATCCGGTGGTAGATTCTGCGAAGCATTGCTCTTGCTAGGGCTAAGTGCTAGCAAATTCGTTCAGGTTGAGCCCGTGAGCTCATTTACCCGTCCTGACGTAGCTGAAATACCATCTTAGGCTACCAGCGAATAGGTAAAGAAAAAAGAAATGTTTTTGACAGAAACGGCGAGATGTTACGCTATGTGGATTATTTATTATATAACTAACTGCTAACTGGGAACAAGACACGCACAGTCATTGGGACCTGAATTAGGATTCCCTATGTTATAGGTACCAGAGACTGATTGATATACATTGTAGCTGGTAGGCAAGTACTCGCACACGACAAGACGCAGCTCCACATTGTATGAGGACGTCTTATATTGGCGCCTGATGTTTGTAACGGCCAGTATTATTGTTAATTCGTTTTTGTATATAAGTGCGTGCTGTGATTATTTTCATTCAGTGTGCTTTGTAAAATTAACCTGATCAATACAAGTAATAAAAATTGCTATTTTTAATCTTCCGTGCATTGCTTCACGTCAAATCTGTTTTGTAAACTTGTGAACTACAAGTGTCTGAAGGACTTTTTTCGGTCCTGGGGCCGAGCCCCCTATGAGGTTCCCGCGCCTTGGGGGAGCGCGGTGTACTTATATGGGATTGGTCCGCGACTGCGAAACCCGAGCCGAAGGATGTTTTTAGGGCTCTTCTGCACTAAACGACTGTAACGACGTTCGATCTCCGCCCGGATCAGACCCGGTCAGAGTAGGGGGGTTCCCACACTCAGCACTACAACCAGACTCGCGGCGCCACCCCGAGGATGTCCGACTGATGAGTCGTCGTAGCGATAGTCAACGACCAACGAGAGTGGACTCTGCGATACGGCGGCCCTACTAGGCCGCCCGGCCGATGTCGCTGGTGTTCCGGGATACCTCAGTGGGTCAGAACCAGCCTGCCGGGTCGGAACGCGATACACCGCCGACCGTGTTTCTCTTCCACAGTATGTTTGGTGACGAAAGCGACGATGACAACACGGACCGAATCGCAGTCTGCAGCCGCCGACGCGTCGTGCTCATCGTTCCAGCGCGCTAGAATGACGGCAGCGTGCCGCAACCACTTGTCAAACGGGTGGTGTGCTTCGGCCACTGAAGTAGGAAACCTATGGAAATGAAACATCAACAAAAAATTCGTGCCACTGTGACGTCATCTGGCCACAAAACATGGCGGTTTTAGTGCTGCCCAGAAGATTTTAATGTTAGTTGGTTTTATCGATAAACGTTCTTGGCTCATTTTATTTTAAATATTGTTGAGTGAATGTATTTGTAAAATTTATACTTTAATAGGAAGTAAGTATATTGTTATGTGCAAAGATGATGTGATTTAGATATTATGTGAAATCTAAGACGAGTTCGTGCTTCAAATTTGCCAAGTAAACGACATGACGATTTTTAAAATTTGCTACACTGATTTTATAAAGTTGTCGTTTGCCGCAAAACATAAAGATATGGCGCAGTACAGTGCCATCTGCCCATTTCTAGCATGCTGAATGTTATCGTATTTTGAGTACGTGTTTTTCTTAGACTATTACAATCTATTTTAATTGTTTTGCTGACTCTAAAGTCCGTAACACACTACCGCAGCGCACCTCAAGGAAGGTACGCCGCACCATTTTAATCACTCTCACTTGAGAGTGATTCAAATTTTAAACTTATCAAGGGACCGCGTGAAAAAAAAAACACCTACAGAACATTTATTCATTAATTACAAACGTCATTCCTTGTGACTTCCTCTCTAAAATCACTTAATTATTAAATATTTAACAAATTTACAATAGTGTTTTACTCACTGCGGAATAAAACTATTTTATTTAAATAGTTCCGAAGAGATTTTGTCGGTAGCCTTTTTCCCGAAATATCTAAACAGAATGTCTAAATATGTTTTGATGACATATTTTAAAGTGGTATTTATGATTAGTGTCATGATCAATAGATTCCGACCGAAAAATGGATTTTTCGGATGAGGGCTCCATAATGAATTTAAATACATATAGATAATAGTTTTAGGGCATCGACTTTCTTGAGATCCTATAAAATATGTTTTAATTATTATTTTTGTATGTTTTAAGCATGATAAAATAAGAAATTTTATATAAGCAATCATATTAAATCGATATCAAAGTCAATAAATAATGTACAACCCAAAACAGACGGCCGAACTGACGTGACAATGACATTTGGCGCGCTAAACATGGCGGATTTTCGGCCTCATTAGACGGAGACGGAGACATTTACGTATATTCATGTTTCATTTTATGTACGCACTGAAATACTGTTATATTGTTTTCCTGCGAGTTAAACTGCTGAGTAAGAACGAGATAGATATATGTTTATGTATGTGCCTTTAAAATGGGTGCTATTTATATAAGCAATTGTACGTATAGAACAATATGTCGTGTCCCTATTATATAGGTCTATGGCTTCGGCAGAGTCGAGATGTCATCGTTCGAGTGGAATCGAAACACATTCTGTCATAGACAAATATTTTTTTGTATGGAAACTAGTGACACCTTGTAGCAGATGCCCGTAAACCTATATGCTAATAAATTAAAGCATTTAATTGTTGTATAACTAAACACAGAAAAAAAAAATAATAATAATACAAGTCTTTATTTATTGTAGAAAATTTACAAAATCCTTTTTTAAATTTAAAGTATAGGATAGGTAATATGTTACTGCTCTCTACAGGAGCAAGCGAAGCGAAGCCATCGAGTGGCCCACGCCCGTAAACATTTTTGTTGAGTGCTTGAGTTGCTTATCTATAGCTATTATAAGTTATGTGTATTATCTATGAATTAGAGACATCCGTTGCCTGACTTAAGAAGAGTGACGACGTCTCGGAACTGTCTTCGTTTCGTGCTGCGCAACCTATTTGTTATTTTTTTAATCGCCCGAGCAGGCAAACGAGTGTATGGCACATGTGATGGTAAGTGATTACCGTCGCTCATGGACGTCAGCAATGCCAGAAGCAGAGCCAAGCCGCTGCCTACCACCATACGCCCAAGATATCAAAAAATAATGATGAAGATATCGGCCCATTTTGCGACATATATATAGGTTTTAATATAAATAGAAAATAAACATCCAGACAAAGAGTAAACACTTCTTATCACACGAATATTGCTTGATAGTTAGTATTACTAATAATAATTAATTAATTATTAACTTATTAATTACTAAATAACAATAATAATTAATAATAATTTCATTTCATTTCATTTCACCCCCTACATATGATTTATTATAAAAATAAGAAAATAAATTAAAATAAGACATAACTTAAAGATCTTAGTTACCAGGTCATAAAATCCCTTAAAAAAATAAGTGTATTATCTATGGTTCGTAAAGTAAACTTGAGAGAAAAAGAAGGCGCGAGTTCTTTGAAGAAGAAGTTTACAAATAAAATAAAGTGCATAAATGTAAAATTATTGAAATTAAATAGTGAACAAATGCTGATAGCTCAAAAACTTCAATACTTCATATCTTTCCTTTTTTATTATTAATTGCTAACCATACGTAATTCTAATAAAACCGACAAAATGAGTGACTATCCAGATCCGGACGAAGAATATGAGCTTATGTACGCTGATGAACTGGAATTGATGCAAGAACAAGATGCTCTAACAGGTAAATCCCCTGACCCCTCAACAAAACTAGTGTGTCATACAGTTTTTAGTAGATATCTCAGTTCTGTTTACATTTTTTTTTTCATTGCTTAGATGTGTGGACGAGCTCACAGCCCACCTGGTGGTAAGTGGTTACTGGAGCCCATAGACATCTACGACGTAAATGCGCCACCCACCTTGAGATATAAGTTCTAAGGTCTCAAGTATAGTTACAACGGCTGCCCCACCCTTCGAACCGAAATGCATTACTGCTTCACGGCAGAAATAGGCGGGGTGGTGGTACCTACCCGCTCGGACTCACAAGAGGTCCTAACACCAGTAAGTACCACATACTATACCTTTTTATAAAAAGGAGAAAAAACTCTTTTTTTTTTTTTTTAAGATATTATTGATATTTGTATATACAGATCTAACGTTCCTTGGAGATTATCCCCCAGCTCTCCAAACTCCTAAAAGTCCACTTTTAGGACATTTGCAGGTTGCAATTTGGTGCTCAAATCAGATCAACAACCACACAACCTATCGAAGAGTCTCAATCAATTCCAGTACTAATCAGGATCAGAACACACTAGGCCGAACTGCCTTAAGTGCAACTTAGCTACCTCTGAAGATTTAACTTTTTTAACATCTTACTTTCTAAAGCAAGCTAGCTTACATTATATAGTTTATGGTATAAACAAATATTAAATAAGATCCAAGTTATGCAGTAGTTCATTTTATTTACCCAAATAATAAAATAGGCTATAAAAATGGGATATCCTATTTCAGACACTAATGTAGTTCCAAAATCAAAAATTACCAAAAGAAGCCTAGATTTTTCAAATCACATGTCAAGCCAACCAGCACCATCTACTCTCATAACAAAAACTACAAGTAGTACTGAAACACCTGTAACACCAAACGAAGATGCTGATACTGAAACCATCATCAATAGTCAGTCTTCAGTCATATTGCAACCAATGGAAGAAGCCTTTGCATCCAACAAACGTACTGCAGATGAATTGTTCGGTGATATCGAAGATATAGACTTTGATGATAAAGAAATGCCAAACAAAAGATTTAAGAGTGAAGAGGAAAATGATTTAGAATTAATAAACAAGATTATAGAGGGAAGGAGGTTGCGACAGTTGCTGGTGGAACCAAGTAATAGACTCCAGGGAACAAATAAACTCAAGTATGATGTGAAAGGAAATATGTCTTACAATATACCAAGGTAAGAAAAGAAACAATGTTAGTATAATTTGAACTATGTTTATGGCTTTTGACAACAACAATGTCTACAGTATAGAGGGTAGAAGTAGGTGACTGTAATATGGCTTTGTTTACAAAAGTGTCTTTATCTAGTAGGCATTAAGTAATAGTTCAATGAGAATATGTAATACTGTATATTATAAATTGAAACCAGTATACAACAAGTATAGTTTAATCATTTATTTTGTATAAGAAAGAAATGTTATCTATGAAAAAGAAATATCCAAATTATTTTCAAACTCCCTTGCCAGGTTCAAGAATTTTCTTACAGTAAACTATTTAATTAATTTATTTGGAAAACAAACAATACAATACATCCATATATATAGTATGTTAAACATTCAAAAACAACTAACCATATATTAAACACCATCTTCAAGTCATTTGATTTTGCCGATACTTTCAAGAGATACAGAATTTTGTTACTTCAATCTTCATAGGCCATAGAAATAATGATTATATATTATATTAACATAGTCTACCTTCATATTTAGAAATATTATTTCAGGTGGGCTTTTGTACCTCTAACAAATTTTGAAGGTGACAGAATATACATCAGATTAGAATCTGAAGAATCATGGGAAAATAATCTAAATATTAATATAGAACAGCCATCTCTACATGCAATGTATGCTAATGCTTGGGAGGAAGCTAGGAAAATTGTAAGTAAAAAACCGCTCTATAATTGATACTCCTTTGACTTTGTTTGTGTGACAAGTCATACAATACAATTGTGACAATCTCATGTATTAAGACGAATGATGGCATTAATTTTGCCATTTCTATTGATTTCGGTAGCAACTAACACTTGGTCAGTTTCAACTTCTATGAAGAAAATAATGTAATATTTTAAATTAAAATTAAAACTGAATAATCAGACTTCTAGCGGAAATAGTTTAAATAAGACAATGAAAGAAAATATGTAATACATTATCAAAATGCACAATAGGCAGCAGTTTGGTGTTACCGCTGGCATTACTGATGTCCATCAGCCACAGTGATCACACACCATCATGCTCTTTAGTCTAGGAAGGCAATAAAAGGAGGTGAAAAGAATCACTCAGTTAACGTAATATGTAATTTCTAATAGAACAAAGTCTACGTTAACATGTAAGTTTTACAAAAGTAGCGGGTAGCTATAGCAGAACAAGATATTGGACAGATGTCTGAATCTCTTCAACGTCATTTTCAATAAAACTTTGCATATATACAAGTTCTTAACAATAACAATTAGACTGTCTGTCTACTGAAAAAAATCACCCACAAGATCTTCCAATCTTCCCTTGATATTTCCCCAAAAATACATATATACATAATTGCAGTTAGAAAAAAAACAAGAGCGTCTAATAGAAAACGAAAATACAGAAGAAGTGGTAACTATTGAAGAAGATATGGAGACAAAAGATGCACAGCTATGGGTGGATAAGTACAGGCCCCAGTCGTATGTAGATCTATTATCTGAAGAACCGGTAAACAGAGCTCTATTACACTGGTTACATTTATGGGATAAGGTGAGAATAATTAAAACCTATCATATATTTGTATTGTGTTTGGTATGTAGTTTATTGGTAGGTATTAGGTAGTGATGCTGTTGCTCTTATGTTAAATAAATTCTGTTATGTTGTAATGTTATATTGAATTCTTATATCCTGTTCTTATCTGTTCATCCTCTATTATGTGCTTGTGATTTGTGAATTAAACTCAGTTGCCTAAAAATTTGAGTTTTCTAGACTCCCAGTAGGTATTCTCCCACAGCATTGTTATTATTATTTCAATCGTTTGTGATCCTGGAAACTGTAAAGTCAAACTAACTCGGAAACAATAACAATAATAAATAATGTAAAATTAGCTTTCATTCTATTTAATTATATTAGCTTATCCATATAAGTTTATGTTTCCGATAGAGGCAAAGGGGCAAGATAAAGAGGGAAAACAAATGTTATTATAAAACCATCATCCGAAAGTCATGTTTAGAAATACCTAAGACCACTAGGTAATACAATAGGATTGACAGAATACTAAATATATACAACAAGAAATTATCTGTAAACAGTATTTCGTCTCGATTTCAGATCGTTTTCAAAAAAGAAGTCAAAACGAAAGACCCCCAACAGCGGAACAGCTTCGTCAAGCGCACGGGACAGTTCCAACTGTTCAACAAATGGAAAGGAAAGACGGATAACGAGCCCGAGTTAGACGAAGACGGAAGACCTCATCACAAGGTGGCGCTGCTGTGCGGCCCTCCCGGAGTGGGGAAGACGACCCTGGCACATTTATTAGCTAAACTAGCCGGTAAGTGTGACATGGTTTTTTTTTTATAGCTTAGATGGGTGGACGAGCTTACAGCCCACCTGGAGTTAAGTGGTTACTGGAGCCCATAGACATCTACAGAGTAAATGCGTCACCCACCTTGAGATATAAGTTCTAAGGTCTCAGTATAGTTACAACGGCTGCCCCACCCTTCAAACCGAAACGCATTATTGCTTCACGGCAGAAATAGGCGGGGTGGTGCTACCTACCCATGCGGACTCACAAGACGTCCTACCACTAGTCCAAGATAGAGAAGATAAGATAGATATAAGATAGAGAACGGTAGCTATATCCGAGGAAGTCGTGGCCTAAATGATATGACGTCCGGTACACGTGTACCGAGCGACGCCACTGTGTCGGTGTTCGGATCCCGCAGACAAGTACAAATCTTTCTAACGAAACGCGCACTTTACATGTGTTCACGAATGACCGGTGGTAGAGCATACCATAAACCCACATAGGCCCAAGTATTTGTCAGCTTTTTGTCTGTCACTTAACATCAAATTGGTCGTGTGTTATTAACACTATTATTAACGGGTATTATTTTACGAGACGCTACTCTAATGACAAATTTTATTGTGAATATCTTATACCTATCTTCATACCGTTTTATACTTATATTCCGATCTACCGAATATTATTCCTATGCTTGTGATAGTAAAAAAGCCGAAAATACGTGTATGAATGTATGTACTATATGTATAATATACGAATACGATATAGTATAGTATACGAAGTCTTAAAATATGTATATATTATAATGTTATAAGAATGAATTTTCAGGTTACCGACCGGTAGAAATAAACGCATCTGATGAGCGAAGTACGGACGCGTTCCGGACAGCCCTGCAAAGCGCCACGCTTATGAGATCTGTGCTGGACGCCGAGAAAAGACCGAACTGTTTGATATTAGGTAATAAAGAGGGTACTCGTAAGTGTGGAAATGGTTTTCTATTGGTGGGGCCGGGGCAAAGCATCTTGTCTATTCCTGCCGAGAAGGAAAAGATGTATTCTGGCTTGATAGTCGTTATACAGTGCAATTAAGGTTTCGATTTTTCATATATTCACATTTTGGCATTTTAAATGTGTCAACAAAATTTTTTTTTTTTTTCTTTTTGCCTCAACGAATTTATTCTTTAGTTTTTTTTCTTTTTCTCTTTGTTGTGTGTATATCGACGCTTGACAGGCAAACGTGACTAAGCGACAATGCGTGAAATTTACAGTAGACTAATTTAAAGTTGAAATTCTTGAAAATAAAGTTTATTTTAACGAATCTAGCTGTAGTAGAATCTAGCTAGTAGCTGTAGGATTGAAATGATTTGAATAGACCTAGAAGTATATTTTTTTTGCATATAGAATATGGTTATTGCCTTTCATTTATGTACAAAGCAGTTATTGTCGCTTAGTCATGTTTGCCTTTCAAGCGTCGATATGTAAGAAAATATTGATCACCGCTTAATACTTAATTTAGTACACGGGGAATAATGTAATTACAACAGGCTTTTCATTGAATTCATCACGTCTGTATCGAGACTTTCTTCTTCTTTATCTCCTTATCCCATTAGATGGGTTCGGTACAGCAAATTTTTCTATTCCATTCTCCTCTATCAGCCGTTATCCCAACACCCACTTCTCTTTCTATATATATCATATCGTCATTCACACACTACATCCGTCGAGACCAATAAACAGTATCAATTATGATATACTTTTTTTTTTATTTCACTCCATTGCGTGTTAGTGTCTAATTAATATGACATAAAATTTCGTTTATTCACAGATGAAATAGATGGTGCCCCCTTGCCGACGATCGAGTTGTTAGTGAAGTGGTGTACGGCAGCCATCGACAGCGGGAAGAAGAAGACCAAATCGCAGCCTCTGAGACGTCCCGTTATTGCTATATGTAATGACTTGTACGCTACATCATTGAGGCCTTTGAGGTTAGTTTCGCCACAGGAATATTCTTTGACTTAAGGCGCACGGGACGACAAATGGTCGTCCTCTTTCTCATTTTATTTAATTAGTTATTAAATTTTAAGTTGTATGTTTCTGTCGAGTTTTGACAAGTTTTATGTACTTGTTTGAACTGTATGTATGTATGTTTTTGGATGTCATAGAATCGTAGCGACTAGCAATTGTTCGTACAACAATCTCAATATTTGAAAAAAAAAATCGTATCATTATGTTACCCCACGGCTGTTTTGATGACGAACCTGGTAATAGGAGATATATTAGGTTGGCAACCCTATTCTACTAGAACCCTAGTTTTATCAGTAATTTTTTTTTAGTTAATTAACTTAATTTTATTTCATGCCATGTTTCATAGTAATTCAACTTCATTTCACTTCATATTATCACTTTTCATATAGTGCAGTTTTAATTAAAATTAAAACAAGACTTGACCTAAAAGTCTTAGTTACCGGGTCATAAAATCTATTAAAAAAAACAGTTATTTAGGGTCCGCTCGGTTAGATACCTCTGCTTTCAAGCTTCACGGGGACGCTCGCATTAACTTCGTGCCTCGCGGCGTCGCTCGGTCCGCAGAGCGGTGGCGCTGTTGGTGCGCGTGGGCGGCGCGTCAGTGTGCCGGCTGTCGGCGCGGCTGGCGGCCGTGTGCGCGCGCGAGGGGCTGCTGGCGGCGCCGCACGTGCTCACCGCGCTCGCCACGCGCGCCCAGGGCGACGTCCGAGCCGCCATACAAGTTCTCAGCTTCATTAAAGCCAGAGCTAGAGCACAGGTAAATCAAGCAAAGTAGATTATTACCAGACTTTTAATCCATAGACACAGCCCACTGAGTTTCTCGCCGGATCTTCTCAGTGGGTCGCGTTTCCATCCGGTTGTAGATTCTGCGAAGCACTGCTCATGCTAGGGTCAGTGTTAGCATCACTCCGGCTTGAGCCCCGTGAGCTCACCTACTAGTTAAGGTTACGCTGAAGTAGCCTCTGAAGGCTATCAGCTTAGGTAGGAAAAAAAACCAGACTGGACTAGTAAAGTTGACCGAAGGAGATAGAAATCGCGTACCAGTTTCCGAATAATGCCCTAAAGCGTATATATATTTTTTGAAGTCGTCGTGGCTTAAAATATAAGACGCTCGGTGCATTCGTATCTAGCGATGCACCGGTGTTCGAATTCCGTCGGCAGGTACCAATTTTTGTAATTGACGATTGACGATTGACTTCCACGGTGAAGGAAAACATCGTGTATTAAAAATTAAATCCGCAAAATTATTTTTTGCGTAATTATTGGTGGTAGGACGTCTTGTGAGTCCGCATGGGTAGGTACCACCATCCTGCCTATTTTTGCCGTGAAGCAGTAATGCGGTGATATCTTTTAAGGTCTTCCTACATACGGCCTACGGAAGTAATAAGTAATCTAATTTTAATATTACTGAATTATATTTGCAGTTAAAGGTAGAGGACGTTGAGAACGCAGCCATTGGCACCAAGGATTGCAACAAAACATTAATGCAAGCGTTACAAGCGGTATTCACGATCGACGACAAAGAACCGGAGGCCATATTGAAGATTGTACAGGCAGCCGGGGAGTATGACAGGTTCAGTATTGCATTTAACACTAATCATACCAACACTTACTCGTACTTATTTCCACCATAGCGGGTAGATAACGGTATACGAAAAGTATTACTCAAAATAAAGAAAACTAAACAAAAAAATTGTATAACAACTGTAGATTAATTGGTAAGAAACAGTCATGAAGTCAAATTTGCAAAAGCAATAAGATGATACGTGCATTTTCAATGCAAAAGTTCAAAATGGGTCATTTGACCCACGCTCGTGAAACAGTAATGTCATAGCCACACAAGGGGTTTCATATCTCAGCAAATTACATCATGCTGTTTTTCTGGATGTTATATACAGGGTGTAGAATTAATGACGTTAAATCGAAAAAGGTATATAATTATTATCATTCATCATTCTTTCCTATTACCCTCTGCTGGGGTGTAGGGCTCAAATTAAATTTTTCCATTTATATCGGTCTTGGGCAGTCTGTTCTAACTCCTCCCACGTCATGCCCAAGACCCCTAGCTCCTGCTCCACCGAGCGACGCCAAGTTGTTCTGGGGCGGCCTCTCTTCCTTTTGCCAGACACTTTCCAGGTCAGTGCTTTCTTTGATGAGAGGAGAGAAAACTCTGACACAAATCAAGTATGGCGGTACGCTTCGAGGCAGCAGCCCTGCCAACAGCCTAGGGCACTATGGGCTAATAACCTGTATGCCTGAAACTTTTATATTACTGAAACTCGAATCAAAACAAACCGGACTGATATAATTATTATAAAAGGAAATATATGTTTCGTTGTAATTGAACACTACAATTACGATATTAAATGTATATGACGACATACAGTCAATTGAGACATCGACCTTGTAGGGACACAGTTTAGTAGCGTATACGGTTTTGTACCACTTCGATAAAGCGGCACGACACGAGAACCCTCTCATCGTGGCCGCCGGTAACTACATTCCCGATCCTGCGGACAGAATGGAAAGCAGTCGACGTCGCCCCAAACACGTCATCTCGGATCCTCCCGATCCACTAACGGTGCTTCTAGGTACCGGCACCATTCTCGTCGAACCCGTCGCTTGCGACGAAGGGCTCAACGAGTAAATTAACCCTCAGACACAGCCCACTGAGTTTCTCGCCGGATCTTCTCAGTGGGTCGCGTTCCCGATCCAGTGGTAGATTCTGCGAAGCACGGCTCTTGCTAGGGTTCGTGTTAGCAACGTCGTCAGGTTTGAGCCCCGTGAGCTCACCTACTAGTTAAGGTTCCGCTGATATAGCCTCTCAAGGCTATCAGCCTAGGTAGGAAAAAAAGAAGGTTTTGTACATCGCTTGCATTAGTCAGTCGTAAGTCGTACATAGCCCACCCGACACTTGTAACAATATCTTCTTTCTTCTTCTTCTTCTTCTTTGTCGTTTCCTCATTACTGAGGGTCGTGACCACTTTGGTCCAGTTTTTGCACCAGCTTCCTCCAATGTTGCCTGCATTCGGCCTGCTTAATGGCGCCCGGGACGCTGGTGTTTGTGGTCTCCTTGATAATGTCCGTCCACCTGGTTGGTAATTTTCCTCGACTTCTCTTTCCTTCCACGTGACCTACAACTATTAATTTTTCCAAGTTCTCAGGATTTTGTCGAGCCACGTGTCCGAAGTACTTGCGGAGACGCTGCACACAGATTGTAGATAGACGGGTCTTGACGTTTAGCTCCTCGAGAATTGACACATTTGTTCGGCGCTCCATCCATGATACGTCCAACATTTTGCGCCAACACCACATTTCAAATGCGTCAATTCTCGATCGGGTACGGGCCTTGAGGGTCCACGTATACAATATACGGAGTAAAATTGGAACTAACTTGTTTTATTAATAAAGGGCAGTTTACTCCCTTTACATCGCATCAGCAACCGTACAGACCTTATGTGACAAGGACAGTGACAGCTTCATTCTGTTATCTGTGTGGCTCCAGAGAACCACTCGTAGTATTACCGGGTACAATTAGACAGGCTATGAGCTCGTACATATATCTAAACGAAAATCTAATATTCTAAATGTGGAATTTTGTATGTATGTTAACCACGCAAATACTATTGAATGAATTTATGTGTTTTTTTACATAGAATATAATGTTGTCTTTGTAGTCCTAGGGTACCTCTCTGGTACATAGGGCCCTGACAAGTTGTCTCCACCTGACCCTTTCCAAATGATCTAGCTGCCGCCTTGAAAAAACGAAGTTACGGTAAACGGCTCAAAAGAAAAGATGTCATATACTCGTAGTTCAATGACTTTTAAATTTAGAGTAGATGGCTCGCTGGAGTCACGCTCTTACTGACTACGTAATGTATGTCAACGTATCTAATAAAAGTAAAGGATACTGATTGTAGATAATAAAGAGAAAAAAAACTTGACCCTGTCTTGCGCTTGCTCCTTGACCTGGATTAACGCATAGAATGCTTTTACAATGGCGTATGACATGACCAGATGAACGGCGGTATATCTGCAATAGTAAATACGAAGGTGTGTCCGTTTCTTGATAAATAATAACATAAACATACTAAATCGACTGTCAGTTAATGGACCATAAAATGACAAAAGCAACTGTTTACCCCGGGACAATTGAACGTTTTGTATGTTATTCTGAATTATAAATTTAATGCGAGTAAAACCACGAGGCTCGTCTAGCGTTGCATTAAGTAGCACACGTTATTCTCTCAGAGTTAGTCTCAACTAATGCGTGTTTTTATACATTTACAAGCTGTACCCGTCCGCTTCTGGGCATTTAAAATTAACATTATTATTTCTCACCCCCACAAAGATTCTCATCATTAACGCCCCCGCAATTGGTGTAGGGAATCCAACGCTTATATAAATATTAAGCCTATCCATTAAGTACGTGTATTTTCTACATGGATACCAAGTTTCATGTCAATCGGATTCACGGTTCAGTAGTTATAACGGAACATCCGTAAAAACCGCTGTAGATTTATATATTAGTATAGATTGATAGTCCAGAGTGAGGCGTGATGGGCTTGACTAGCAGTTCATCTTACTAAATAATTTACAGAATAGCGGACGGAATATTCGAGAATTACATGGCCGCCCGCGTGGACGCGCGGATGCTGATAGCTTGCGAGACTCTATCGTGGCTGCGCTTACTGGACGCCATTAGCTCGTGGACGATGAGGACCCAGAACTATTCGTTGTACGGGGCCCTGTCGTTATGTATAGCCAGGTGTCACAGGGTACTCGCATCGAGGGCCCCGCAAAGGGTCAAATTTCCTACACAGGCACAAGAGGTAAGTGATTTAAAAAAACTTACTTCAACGCCATCTAGCGAATTTTTTATTGCCCTTATAGGCAGACGAGCATACGGCCCACCTGATGGTGAGTGGTTACCGTCGCCCATGGACCTCAGCAATGCCAGGGGCAAAGCCAAGCCGCTGCCTACAAATATCTTGGAATCCAGTAGAACAGTAAAATTAGGTTTTCAAAAATATGTCTAAGAAATCTTATAGTATTGTATCTTTGCTATCTCTTGTATTGTATATAACTGTTGTACTTCATATGTACAGTGAAGAACAAAAGAACTGGCTATATACTCATCTTTTTCTTGAAAATATTCCTTATCGCTAGACTTCGGTCTAACACCCACGCCCCCTCACGTCCCTAATCTTGTCCTAATTTATCAGTATAAGCCCCTACGAATGTATACAAGCAATGTACAGTTTTCTGTTGTCAACTATGTCACGCATTGCCATTCGAAAGATAGACTGGTATTTTTAAATTAAACCTAAATGACTCAAAGTCAGTCACCACGTCACAACAAATGCAAGTGAACAATAAATGTTTATTGCAGGCCTACAGAAAGAAATTAGAATTGGAGAGTATAGTGAATTCGGTATGGCGAGGCAGCGTGCCGTCAGTGGCACTTTCTAGAAACTCTTTGAAGGTTGACGTGTTACCGTTGCTGCCCTATCTGTTGTCGCCGTCACTACGCACCGCTAACGTACAGGTATCTATACTAATATTATAAACCTGAAGACTGTTTGTTTGAACGCGCTAATCTCAGGAACTACTGGTGCGATTTGAAAAGTTCTTTCAGTGTTCGATAGACAATTTATTGAGGAAGACTATAGGCAATATAACATCACGCTAAGACCAATGCAAGCGGAGCACCAATAAAGAATGTTTAAAATTTGGGTTTTTCTTTCCCTTTTCTTCCGCTGCGTGCGCTGCAGAAACGGTTTAAGTTTCGCTAAAATAATGTGTGTCAGAACTGTTCCCCTTTAAAAGATCTAAAAAAAACCGCGACATGACTATATCTTAAGGTTAGCTCACTATAACGTGTTTTATGCTAACCAAATTTGTTCTAAAATAAAGCATTATTTGTGAACTAATCCACGCGGACGAAGTCGCGGGCAAAAGCTAGTGTTTCTATAATCTTATAACATGTTCAGTAAAAGATAATAATCAATGTTGTTATAGAAGTGTTCAGCGACGTCGACAGATGGCGCTGTCTTGGTGATTATAAATATATCTGAGAAGCCAGAATTATTAACAATTAAACACCATCGTCAGATATCATAGGGGCAAATAGGATGGTCGAGCTAAGAGTAATATTGAGTACATCAAACACGTTTGTTGTCTTAGAACAATTTAAAAATCTTCTCTTATCGTCAGTAGACGAAAACGAATGACAGTTCTTAGGACAGAGGCACCGCTCTTCAAGAAGGCTGGTTGGTAAGTGTGATGGCGTCTACGCGCCTCCATCGGCTAGGCTCTATCGTAGCACGAAGTTAGCCGAGTTCCGACGATACTGCAATCGTGCTGCCATCTCTCGGGAATCGTGCTGCGTTTCGTTTAGTTAATGACTGTCTCCGACAAATAGATTATCAACTTATTACGTCTTCACTCGTCTTAAATCAGGCAACGAATCGTCGAAGGTCGATTCTTCTCGAGCGATGACATCTCGACTCTGCGACTTTTTTTTTTCTACTTGTTCTTATAGCGTTAAAAAAATATTTCAGCTTCTCCTTGACGTGTAGGTGAGTTCACGAGGCTCAAACAAGGAGCGTTGCTAACACTGGCCCCAGCAAGAGCAGTGCTTCGCAGAATCTGCAGCGGGATCGGAAACGCGACCCAATGAGAAGATCCGCCGAGAAACTCAGTGGGCTGTGTCTGAGGGTTCATTTACTCGTCGAGCCCTTCATCGCAAGCGACGGGTTCGGCGAGGACGATGGCCGGAAACACGCCACCCGAACTGAGCCGACGTTTGACGAGTAGTTTCGGCTCAGAACCACTAGATGGAGCGCATTCGTTTCGTTTGTCTAGTCCGGATGTGACATATTAATCTATTTTTGCATTGAAAGCGGTTCGGAAGTAATGTATGCTCGTTTGATAGCTGTGCAGCGAGAGCGAGAGGAGGTCGCTGGGCGCATGCGCGGGCGCGCTGTGCGACTACGGGCTGCGGTACGTGCAGCAGCGGACCGCCGACGGACTCTACGCTTTCGTTTTGGAACCGGACATTAACAGATTAGCGTTTTACGGTTAGTTATTTTTTTTTTGTTTGTTAAGACTGCCTGACTCGGTGATGCAGTGGTTATTGATCCTGGTTGCTTGGTAAGTGATCCTGACTCAGTGGTGCAGTGGTTATTGATCCTGGCTGCTTGGTAGGTTGTCTTGACTCGGTGGTACAGTGGTTATTGAGCCTGGCTGCTTGGTAGGTTGTCTTGACTCGGTGGTACAGTGGTTATTGAGCCTGGCTGCTTGGTAGGTTGTCTTGACTCGGTGGTACAGTGGTTATTGAGCCTGGCTGCTTGGTAGGTTGTCTTGACTCGGTGGTACAGTGGTTATTGAGCCTGGCTGCTTGGTAGGTTGTCTTGTCTCGGTGGTACAGTGGTTATTGAGCCTGGTTGCTTAGTAGGTGTCTTAGGTTCTATTGCTAATTGCTTGGATACTTGATATGTTGACTTGTTAGTGGTGTCGGTGTTACGAAATCAAGGTTATATAATATGTATGTATATATTTAAAACTATGTCAATATTTTAGGTTTAATAAGATTGTTTTTTTGAGGAATCTTATCAACGCATAAAATTGTTAAAACTGTATTAAGAGTTCCTTAAGCATTCGTACTACCGAAAAAAATACTAGTATTGACATAGACATACATATTGACACTGACGCGACATAGGCATAGACAATGACTAGTATTGTTGATATTGACAAAATAACAAAAAACAGTTGATGCGCAATATTCTTCATGAATTTTATCGTAATATTAAACGTGTAATGAGTTTTTGTGTACTGTCAAATGAAATATTTTTAGGTAACGAAGACAGAGTCCGTCCGCCGCCGGCCGTCAGACAGGCCATCGCGCGGGCACAACAGCTAGAAATCATACGAAGGAACGAGGAAATGGTACTTGTTTATTTAATAAATAAATAAATATTTACTAACAATCACGCCACGTTAACTGGTACCGTGATAAGTTCGTAAAGAACTTGTGTTACAAGTACCAGATAACGGAAATAAATGTATGATTTTTATTATACACATACATATATTTAATACACATCCATAACCCTGGAAAAGAGATTTATATTTATCATACAAATATCTTCCCTTGGCGGGATTCGAACCCGCGACCCCCGTATGTAGTGACCATGTCACTTACCACTACACCAGACGGCCGTTAATTTGGCCGTTTGATTTTTAATTACCTTAATTTTCCTGCCTGACGACTAATGCAATTGACTTCGACGCGTGCCAAAGCAATTGCAAAGGAACGTAGATGATGGTTAGGCGTATTGTAAACCCGCACGCATATTTACCACCACCCTATCTATTTATAAAGGGAAGTAATCGTGAACTCTTGTGTGTTCGGTTATTTTAATTTTTTTTTAACTGCAAATGTATAAGTTTACATATTATTATAAAAACGTTTTCTCTGCTTTCATTGGTCAATATCGCAAATTTCATAATGTTAGGTTTGATAACACTCATTCCAGAAACTAAAGATAGTTTTTTTTTTAATTTAAAATGTTCTGGATTCTAGTCCTTTAAGCTAAATCGCTTATCCAATATTAGTTGGGATTACTTTAATTGTATAATTAAAAGTCTGCCAACAAGATTGAATTTAAAAGTCGTCCTCAGACTGGTCGAGCTCCAAGCACAGCGACATCAGATAGTAAAAAGCCAGTGGAGTCCAAGAAGCCAGCCACGACAATGAGGGAGCAGGACGCCGCTATACCCAACCACATGCAGCGATTGAAACCGAAAGAAGTTACGAAAAGCACACCCCAGGTACGACATACAGCGTGTTGCATTTTTTTTATTGCTTAAATGGTTGGACGAGCTCACAGCCCAGCTGGTGTTAAGTGGTTATTGGAGCCAATAGACATCTACAACGTAAATGCGCCACCCACCTTAAGACATAAGTTGTAAGATCTCAGTACAGTTACAACGGATGCCCCACTCTTCAGACCGAAACGCATTACTGCTTCACGGCAGAAATAGGCGGAGTGGTGGTACCTACCCACGTGGACTCACAAGAGGTCCTACCACCAGTAATTACGCAAATTAACATTTTTCGGGTTTGATTTTTATTACACGATGTTATCCTTCACCGTGGCAGTCAGTCGTGAGTTCATTTGTTGAGTTCGTATTTCATTAGAAATGTTTGGTACCCGCCTACGGGATTCGAACACCGGTGCATCGCTCAATACGAATGCACTGGACGTCTTATCCTTTAGGCCACGACGACTTCATCTGTGATTATAGAACAATGATTATAATAGAAATGATGGTTATAGAAATATAACAATTATAATGTTCAAAATTATAATCTATATATTAATACGTGAAACAAAAACTTTGTATCCCTTTTTACGAAAATTACCCGGACAGAGGAGTATGAAATTTCCTATACTTATAAAGAATATAGAGAAAAGTACAGAATGCTAATTTTTGTTTTTAAATTATGCATAAAAAAAAACACATTATATCAATAAAAAAAGCATTACACACACTATCATATATTTGACACAACACATACATAAAAATATACTCTTTGTTTACTGTCAATTGGGAAACTTTTGTTATTGTTTAGTCTGTGATCGAATTAAGAATACATTAATATTGTTTGTGTTTAATATTATTGATCTATAGTGCAGTTTTGGCGAATACTGTGATTATATTATCGAATTATGATAATGTTTGACAATAGAACCATAATAATGTTTAAACTTATAATTTCAATTAATTATAGTCGAATTTCGACTACTGCGCGAGGCCACTAGTTTATATTAATTACTACTACTGAAACGATTATTGGTTAAAATAATTTCGGCCATATTCGTATAATATACAGATATTACGCATAGTCTGGTGTTCGGGAATCTGCCGGACGCAGGCAGTCCAGGGTCGGTCGTTGTGACGATGCTTGGGTGAGATCCGTCTCCAGCAATGGACGTCAGTGGAGTGAAAGAAATATATAAGATAAATAGTATTAGCTTAGACTGACTCCGTGGTGCACTAGTTAGCGCCTCTAACTGTTGCGCTGAGGGTCGCGGGTTCGGTTGCCACATCGGGCAAACATTCGTGTGATGAACAGGTTTGTTTGCTCTTTGTCTGAGTGTTTATTATCTATATGGTATGTAGCTATTTAATCGTATATAAGTATGTATATCATTCTTCGGTTCCCATAGTACCGGAAAATCTTAGAACCAGATTATTGTGTGTTACTTGTCCTGGGTCATTATTATTTCTATTATTGTATATGTCGGCGCAACTTCATCATTTGGTTAACTAAAAATAGTTAAACTATTTCCTTAATGTTACGCATGTCAACAACTGTTTAAAACGGTATTCAAGAGAATTCATGTCTAAGCTACCCCCACTGTCTGCTATAAATACGAGTGACTATTATCGCACAAAACTCTACCCGATGATATGTAGGCGAAGTAAAATGTCCCTTAGAAATAAGGTGACACTCTACAAAACTTGCATACGCCCCGTCATGACCTATGCAAGTGTAGTGTTCGCTCACGCGGCCCGCATACACTTAAAATCATTCCAAGTCATTCAATCCCGTTTTTGCAGGATAGCCGTCGGAGCCCCGTGGTTCGTCAGGAATGTCGACCTCCATGACGACCTGGACTTCGAGTCCATCAGTAAGTATCTGCAGTCGGCGTCCATGCGCCACTTCGATAAAGCGGCACGACACGAGAACCCTCTCATCGTGGCCGCCGGTAACTACATTCCCGATCCTGCGGACAGAATGGAAAGCAGTCGACGTCGCCTTCTCTCCCCAACACCCAGAACGGTCAGGTCGTCGGGGTGCCCGCCGAGTCCAGTTAAACGGTGCTTTCAAGGTATTCAGAGCACGGTCACCGTTTGGTCGAACCCGTCGCTTGCGACGAAGGGCTGACGAGTAAATTAACTCTCAGACACGCCCACTGAGTTTCTCGCGGATCTTCTCAGTGCGGTCGCGTTTCCGATCCGGTGGCTAGATTCTGCGAGCACACGTCTTGCCTAGGGTTCGTAGTTAGCCAACATCGTCAGGTTTGAGCCCCGTGAGCTCACCTACTAAAGTTAAGGCTACGCTGAAGACAGCCGCTAGGGCTATCAGCTTAGGTAGGAAAAAAAAAAAAAAACGCACAAAACATTCTAACTCGAGCAGCCGGACGGAGCGAAGTTCTCTGTTGTTATCGTTGTACACTTGAAATGTAATAAATGGAATTCATTAGAAAAGTGAGTCTTAATTATTGTCACTATGGAAGGCAATGATAATAATGAAGTGAATGGCGTCAGCAACGCCCACGTCATCATTATAAAACCACCATGGAACTAGCCTCACCGTTATATATTAAAAAAAAAGCCGAAATTTTTTAAACGTTATTTCCGTCACAAAAAGGTACTGCATCAACCTTATATCGCGACTAAATAGGTTTTATTTAAAAACATCACTTCGATAAAGCGGCACGACACGAAAGCCCTCTCATCGTGGCCGCCAGTAACTACATTCCCGATCCTGCGGACAGAATGGAAAGCAGTCGACGTCGCCCAAAACACGTCATTTCGGATCCTCCCGATCCACTAACGGTGCTTTTAGGTACCTCAAGCACCGGTCACCGTTCTCGTCGAACCCGTCGCTTGCGACGAAAGGCTCGACGAGTAAAGTAACCCTCAGACACAGCCCACTGAGTTTTTCGACGGATCTTCTCAGTGGGTCGCGTTCCGGCGGTAGATTCTGCGAAGCACGGCTCTTCCTAGGGTTCATGTTAGCAACGTCGTCAGGTTTGAGCCCCGTGAGCTCACCTACTAGTTAAGCTTACGCTGAAATAGCCTCTCAAGGCTCTCATCTTAGGAAGAAAAAAAAAATTAAAAATATATTATATCCACTAGAAAAAAAAAACAAAGCCAGTCCGTTGCGAAATCGCGATAACAAGAACTCAGGAACGTAAACAATGAACAGCACAGTTCACTAACAAGCGGTCGGGAGCTAAACGGGGGTCGTTATGTGATGAATGGACGGCGCTCAGGTTGAAGTGTACGCGGCTGATGGAATATATTAACGCGCGAGACGGACAACTGATCTAAAAATCTTGATACTTTAGTGGTTGTAGACGGGCTTCCTAAACGAAACAGCTGTCGGATTCGAACTAGAAATCAAATCGGTTTCGCGGCAGAATTAGACAGAATTGCTGTCCATCGTTTTACCCTCGCCGTCAATTTGTCACCCTATGATGACCAAATTGTTGCATTTGAGATGTGCTGGCGAAAGATGCTAGGTATTCCCTGGACAGCACGTTGCGTCAATGTGTTGATCCTCCAAGAAATATAGATAAAGACGAGGGTTTCTACCATCTGCTTGCGTTGATTTCTGGAATACTTTGACCACATTGCATGAAATGATAACGGCAGCTTGGAGAAGCTAATCGTGACTGGCAAGGTGGACGGAAGAAGGCCACGGGGTAGAGGCCCGACACGTTGGATTGACCAGATCCGCATTACCTTCGACACCACAGTTCGCCATACTCTACACTCGGCGGTAGATAGGAGCAAATGGCGTGGAATGATCCGGAATAAACTCTTGTTGCGAAGAGGTGTTGACGATTCACGACCCTCAGTATTGAGGAAACTGAAGTGAAAAGAAGAAGAAAAGGTATTTCTTCACAGAGAAGGTTCCAAATTTTCGTGTCGTCGCGAACTTTGTAGTTTCTCGATGTAGTAGGTAATTACTATGAAACTATATTTTCGTAATTATTGGGTGGGTTACCGATCATGCTAGATAATCTGCCATAGTTACAATGGAAATGAAATTCCAACTTATTTTGTGAAAGTGGTATGTGATATCTACCTTTTGTTGTCTATGGGCTAAAGATACCATTTTCTTCAACAGTTGGTAGCTCGTATACACGTCACCTTTTAGCTATTCGCTGGTAACCTTTCCAACTACGTGCGGACGGACGGAAGACTTATACCAAAGCACAAAAGCTCACAGTCTATCAAACTCGAGGACTGCAGTCGAAAGTTAATTTCTGCTTATAATGCCTAGGTATATATTCTGTGAGCATCATCACATACATAACTATATACGTAAGAGTACTATAGGTATAGTTGACAAAACGTCTTTGACATCGGACTACACCGCCGCACTTACACTATCGGTCCAGATATGCGAGGGTTGTCAAAAAATAAATATAAATAAATAAAAATGTTTTAATGTTGAAAATGATACAGACAATATTGATTTAGGTAATACGAAATTATAAAAAAAAAACTTATTTCGCGTCACGAGAAAATCCTTGAAATCTGAGATCTTTATTGTGTTTTACTGTAGAAGCAGATCCGTACATAGAAAAACTAGGTACCACTATGAAGAACTAACGCTTCTCACGATGTACATGGTCGCGTTTGGCCTCAGCTTCTGGGTGCGCAAACCAAAGGCGATCGGGGGCCACGATCCGCGCTGCATCGTCAGGTTCACGGTGTTACTCTAAACAAATACATTCGTTTTCTAACTATCATCATCATCATCATTTCAGCCTATCGCCGTCCACTGCTGAACATAGGCCTCTCCAATAGATTTCCAGTGCGACCGGTCCATTGCCACCTGCATCCAATGAGACCCAGCGCTTTTTACTAGGTCGTCGGTCCATCTAGTAGGTGGCCGTCCCACACTGCGCTTGCCAGTACGTGGTCGCCACTCCAGGATCTTTCTGCCCCATCGACCGTCCTCTCTTCGTGCTATGTGGCCGGCCCATTACCACTTCAGTTCACTAATTCTACGGGCTATGTCC